ATATATATATATATATATATATATATATATATATATGAATTCAAAAAGGAGAGCTTATCTTGGTGTGAGTGATGTAATTGTTTGACTTTCAACTCGCACTTGAACAAGTCTTGTCCAGCCTCTTTAATGAAAGCTAAATAATTCAGAACTATCAATATTTGACCTTTATCTTCTTTAACAAAACTGCACTTACTAATTATGTTTATCTACTGGCTCAAGTTGTTTAGTATCTTTCGACTCATCCGACAATATATATATGTTATAAATTTTTATAATGTTTTGTCACGAATTTGTGATATTATTAACATTTATTTTATGCTACAGTCCCATATTTGATTAAATAAACTCTCAAACAGTTTAGATGATCCAATAAACTGGGCTACATTTCTGTGAAAAATTAGGAAATGCAGTTTTATAAATAAGTAAGTATGATCTGTTTCTTTTTGATATAGTAATTATAGATAATGCGACTGAATTCAAATGTCGAAGCTCCGGAACTACGAGATACAGTCATCAACAATTGCTTAGATGCGAGATCACCCAAGGCGATCTTCGAAGACGTCATCAACCACGATATTACGTCTTTGAAGCCCTGATTGGTGCAAAGGAACGTTCTAGAATATGGGACCAGCCACAATTCTGGGAGGATGCCTTTCTTGATGCAGTTGCGCGAGAGAGAGACCTTATAGGTGGGCTTCGTTTCTAATAGTAAATTAATAAAGCTATTTGGAATGATTTGATTTATTTATTTAAATTCGTGCGCTTACTTTTGTTTTAAAATTGCCAAAGTTAATGTGTTTGGTGATTGCAGACTTTGGCAGAGATTCAGAAGAAAATTTTGTGAATTCCATTTCCATTTATTATAAGGAACCAATGCATTTATTACCAAATGTGTATTTTCTTTAATAAGACGATACCGATTACGCCATATCTTGATTATAAAGGGGAAAGCTGTCCTTGGCGTTCGAGGTTTATCTAAATAATTACAACAATAAATCCAATAAACCTCTCATATGGTAGAAATAGCATAAAATTATTATGGTCTAGTATTGAATCTCTGCCTTCACCTACTGGAGCAACGTTCAAGGGCACTTAATAAAACTTTAAAAAATTTTCTTCAGCAGTAACCTCTACAAGCTAATTGTGGTTAGTGTTCACACGTGTAAATTTGGCATACGAAAAGCCTCTTCGGGACGTTCTGGAGATGAGGTGGAATTTAACTGTGCATATTCCTAACTAGATTAGGCTATTGTGGTTGGCTATTTACGCCACTGGTTGATCTTTGATCTCAAAATTGGCAGGCCCGTTTTGAAGATTTTGAAGCCTTTTTCCTCAATCTATAGTTAGTGTTATAGATGAACTGTTTTAGATTGCACGTACTAAAATAACTTGAAGAATAGAGACTATTGGAGTGGTATTTTAGATGAAAAAATCCAATAATGATGGTTTCTAACGAATAATATTGATAAATACTATTACACCATGCAAAAGGGGCTGTGCGATAGATTTACCTCCACGTGGTACTCTCTGGGCAATGTATACTCATGCGGCAAAAAAATCTATTAACCGGCATTTGACTTCTGACTTCTAACTACCATAACCCCACTGTATGTCATATTCGACTACTTTCACAGTATTCACCTCACATTTTTTCTACCTTTGTGTCTGTCTATTTTACATCTTCGAAATACTCTTCTGTTCGCCCCCCCCCCCCCCACCTCTGGCCTTTTTTCACACTGATGTTCCTTCCACTCTGTGAAGCCTGAAGTCGACTAATGTGCTAGTGATAACTCTCAAAACGCTTCTATTTGATATAAATAAATAAAACACCATGCAAAAGAAAACCCCTAACTTCTAACGCATTCTATTCGCCTTTTGTACAAAATAATAACGATATATGAAATGATGCCTCCTCTGGTCAAACTTTCTAAGTGAAATTCCAATTAATTTTCTCATTTTTGTATGTTGTAGGTCTGGATCATTCACCAACTGCCTTGTTGGAACGCTACTCAAAGTTATCAATCCCCGAACGCAAACTTTGGGACCTCAAAGAGGATCGAATTTTAGCAACAGTACTCCATAACCTCATTGCTTACATGGTCATGATGAAAGCGGCGAAACAAGAAATATACAATGTTGGATATCGTCTTCTTGGAAGATGTCGGCTTGGGTCAGATTTCTCACACTCAATTTCGCATCTTCTTGAGTGTGTTGCAGAACTAGTAAGCTAGCTCTCTTTAAAATTTATCCTTGGAGTAAAGATATCGAGGTTTACACTCTGCAAAGTTCCTTGCCAATGGAACGCTCTTTTTGAGCTTTTACTAGAGGTCTAGGTTTTATGACTTTGTATGGGAGGAAATTTCACACGAAAGAAGTAATTTTAAAATTTGCTGATTACTTTTTATAACTGAGTATTGATTTGAATTTTGATGTCTTTATAATATAATAAATGTTCAATTTATTTCTTAAATCTCATTCCAAGTGGATCCTAAAGCAGTAGACTAGATGAACAGATGAAAGGATTGTGAACTTTTGGGCACTAAATAGAGTCAACCCAAAGCGGTCGGCTGAATTTTCGATCAGATTAGAGCTTGTTGACGTTCTAAATTGATAGTGTGATAGTCAAAACAATTTAGCTTCTACTTAATTGCGCTTAAAATTTCATACACACAATAGAAAGAGCATTAAAGAAACAATAATTACCCTACCCTAAAACTGTGTCAGTAGTACAAATATGGCAATAAAGTACATGGTATTTATGGTCACTGGAAAACGTCCAAATAGTGGAAAATAACTTTAATGAAGCATTAATCGGAAGAGGGTTTGAGAAAAGGTGTGAATATTAAGAGTTCGATATAATTTAATTCTTTGAAGCATTTAGTTGTCTCTGTATATACTTAATGCATCTATTAAAGGCCTATTAAAACTCTGGAACACCAAATGAATGCCAGAATATTATTCATACTTTAATATAATTTTGCACAGGATTACTGTAATGATAGATTTTACATCAAAATACTGCAGGGCAACGACCTTTAAATCTAGCGAATTTTAGTGAGCATACAATGTAGGTAGAGAAAGAATATTATTATTTATTCATTTTATAGATTGATTTGTCTTAGTTATCCATCCATTTTGGCTTTGCTTCCTCCAAGAATCTCTCCGAGGTCTTCTGGAGTGATTATAGTAAAGATCGAGCAGACGACTGCACAGTGCCTCTGAAGTTTCTGGAGTTTAACGAAAGTGTCATTTTTGTGTCGGTAAATCTGCGGCTAAGTATAACCAAGTAACTGAAGTAATTGAAAAAAGCGATGGGAGGCTTGTAGAAGCAGACAGTGAGTCATTGACAGAATGAGGAATTTTCCTTCTATATTAGGAATTTTGAATGGGAAAGTGGCAAGCGGTTTTGGATAGGAATTAATTCTGAGTGGAGGGACAAGATCGTTTCTAAAATGGTCGAAATGCAATAAACTATTTTATCAAACGCCAGGCGTTTTGATGGTGATCATTAGCCATTTAGTTGACTTCAGGCTTCACAGAGGGAAACATCAAAGTGAAAAAAATTCGAGAGAGGGGAGGGAACAAAATATTGTTTTAAAGACGAAGGTAGAAAAGGTAGATAAAAGGTGAGGTGAGTACTGTGGAAGTAGTCGAATATGGCATACAGTGGGGTGATGGTAGTTTGAAGTCAGAAGTCAACTGTCGGTTTATAGACTTCTTGCCTTATGAGTATATGTTGCCCAGGGTGCACCACGTGGAGGTAAGTCCATCGCACACCCCCAAATTCAATAAATAGAATATCATAGAAACGAATACCGAAAAAGGCTAAGAAGTGGACGGTTTTTAGTCAATTCGTCTTCATTTGAGTTAACAACTCACCGTCTGTAGACGTTCTGTTCAGGTACTTCCCAAAGGAAATTCTTGTGAAATACATTTAGTGATTTGTTAACTATACCATCATGTTTATTATTGTATCATCGAAAGCATCAAAGTCTCTCATTCATTGCCTAAGATCTTATTCGATAACCTATCTAAATTAGTACCTCCTAATGCATCGCCCTCACCCAATTCCTAATACTTTGTTTGTGAACCGGTTTTAGTTTTTATTGGAATGAACGCTTTTTGGTAAGATAGTTCTTCTCAATACCCTACATCGTCAATAGATGGAATCAGTATTTATAGCATCAAACATACGCAAACCCATCGAATATACTTTGAATATGAAATATTCATTCATTGGCTTCCACTTTAAATAAGAGTATTCATTCAATTTCCTTTAGAATGGCAATTCAATCGATCTTATTCCTTCAATGAGCAACAGTATCTATCAACACGCTTTCACCATAACCATTCCAGATCCTCATTCAGATCCCGGGAACTCACTAATTCTCGAGGTTAGTAAAGCACTAGCTTAAGAATGTGTGCAAACATTGTTTTATTCTGCTTTATCGCACGCTGATCACTTAGGTGTACGAAACTGCATACCTTTTGCGAACTCTTGGCGGTGCAATTGAAAGCGTGCGAAATCTCGCAAATATTCTTGCAATAATCATGATTGCCAAGGCAAAAGCTTGCGTTATTCTTGAGGTTAGCGGTGATGAGGTGAACGCGACTCAAATGTATTGCAAAAAGGTTAGTATGATTCCCTTTGGTTAAAACAAACATCCGTCCTCTGTTCATTCCTCTCATTTAAGTGCTTTCATATTGATTTGGTTGGAGTTGATTGTAAGTAGAAGGTGGTAATGATATATAGATGGGCACGATTATTGATTTCGATTAGAATTTGATTTAGTCATTTTAAATCGACAGAGCAGGAAACCTTTAATCCGATGAAGAAATCAATAACAAATGTTTTTTTGGAATGTGATAATTTAATCTTTGATGTGTAAAGGGGATATGTATTTCTAGTGAAAGTTTTAAGTAGAAATCACTTATGCTTCTTTTGTTATGGATTCCAAAGAATGAAACTCACAGTGTAGTAAATGGTTTCTCAGAAAATTTAATTTAATGGCTCATCGCATGCGTCACATTTCGTCCGTACTAATTTAAAAACACTGCTCGAGTTAAATAATTGCACAGTCGCGTTGCGTAATTTAATTAAAATTAAATTAAATATTAAGTTATTAGAAGATGAATTCGTTAAATCAAATTATTTTTATGTAAGCGTGGGTGTTTGAGTGAAAGGATTCAAATTTTTGACATGCAAGTCCCATCCCATAGGAACTGACAAATGGATCAAATTGGGAAAAGTAAACTCGTTTACCGGTAATTTAAGATTATTATTATTACGGTGTTCTTAAGCAATCAATAAAATTACCTATATTTAAACTTCATTGAAGACAATTGTAGAATCAATGAAACTTTAAGAAACGAATCTTAACCACTTCATGTTATTTGATTGTTGTCTATTTAAAAAAATATCTTCCTATTTTAGACAAAATCCCTCTTCCATGCCATTCAGGCTGCAATGAAGCGGTTGTCCTATGAGGCGAAAGCAATTACAAATCGTAAATTTTGTCGTTGAATTTTGCCCCAATTGTTGCGTGCAATATAAATTTTTTATTTTGCCTACATCTAGAGGCGTAAAGTATTACTAATTTTATTTTGCGTATAAAATTAGGTAAATTTTAAGAAAGACCATTTAAAATTCGAAAATTGTTTAATGTTGTTTGGGGAAAATTATACACCATTTGTGTATGGTGTAAATTAATTTATCTTCGATTTACTTTTTACATATACACTTTTTCATGTATTTTTTTCTAATATAGCAATCCAATTTTGCATGAAAATGGTAAGAAATGCAGACAGTTTGCAGAGGAATCTGGCTGCTCTTGGAGTCGCTGAGGGACTAGAATTCTCAAACTCCAAGTTTGCTCCTCGTAAGTGCGCATTCTCTTAGCGCATATATATACGTATATATATTTATTTATTTATTGAAGGCAGTGCGCTTTTTGTTTTTTTCCTTTGTATATATAAATAAAATCCAAACTTAGTGGAGCACAATACCGAAATCTCCCAGGTTTCGAGATTAATTTTTGCAAGTACGGATTTAGATTTTTACTCAAAAGAGTTTCATTTGTGTGCTATGCGACTAATTAGTTAGTGTAAACCGAGGGTCAGATTAACAATAATTTTCTTCCTGCTGGATGTTTACTAATCCTACATCCTCCCTAATCTATCAATGCACCTAATGAAAAGTTGCGATTTCAAATCCAATTTTGTTCAGTCCTTATGTGGTTTTATAATTGATGACTAAATTTATTATACTAGAGATATCTAAGCTAAAATGATAGATGCTGAATTAAGTAGAATTAACCTGGAAGAGTATATTAAAAGCACGCAATAAAACAGTCAAAATAACGATTATTCTTTCCAAATTTTGTGTTGGCCTGTTGTTCATCACTTTAATAGTTTAAATTGAGTATAATCTGTTTAATAATCAGAGCACAAAAGCCTACAGCATTCAACAGGTTATCACTGATGTGAAAATCTGGAGTTTGATAGGATGATGATGATGATAATGAGGGACAAACATGGGAAGAAAAGGTATAATCAGAGAAATGCCGATCGTTTGCTTAGTTAGTAATATATTGTGTCAATATTCTCCCATTACGCCGTCTTTGTCGCACATAGGCAGTTGAAATCTATTCATCCAAAGTTCTATCTGAATTCCTTCTGTCTCTCTCTCTCTCTCTCTCAGTCTCTCTCTCTCTCAAAAGTTAACTCACGTTATGAACATTGCCAGTGGTTTACCAATAAATCAATAAATGCTACAAAAAGTATGCCAAGAATACTTGAGTAACTTGTTTTATAGAAACCAATGCGAAGATTTGGGTTTTCGATATTTTGCTGAGAGGAAAGTGGGTTTTGGGTCATTGAGTTCACAGCATTTACAGATTCATTACCATTATAACATTTATGAAAATGAGCTGTCGTTTCATTGTTCTCGGAAATTTAGTGAAATCATTTTCCATAATCTTCACATCTGATGATCGTAGAAGTGAAGTGAGATGGAGATGTGCTCATTTTCCCAATGCCAAGTGCGTACGAAGTGGGGACAACTCGTATTTTCAGAAACAGGGCAAATGAAATACAGTTGGGCACAAAAACGTTTGTTGATGCTGTGACACGTCGACACAGAGTCTAGTCATTGAAATACACCTTTAACTACCATGACCATGATAGGTTTATTGATTTGATGAGGTGACTCAGAACTCACAACTGCACTTGCACTTGCAATGCAAAACAACACAACCGGCTCCACGCTTGCATTTGGCCCTTAAAGGTTCAGAAGTACGCGACACATCACAGCATGTTCGATTGTACATTCGGTTCCATTTTAGCACTTTTGCCCTCCGCATTAAC